GTCTTGACAGTGACTTTCCCTGATTCCCTGCTCTGGATTGTCCCTTTCACAAAGGATTCCTTTGCGTGTACCACAAAGACGGATGACTTGGCATCGAAAGGCTTGTTCTGGGCTGCAATTCTCTCCTTTTCTGACTTCCGGAGGTAAGGAGCTGCCTCCCCAAAAATGGCCATCTCGGAATCCGAAGACATGGCTGCACTTTGTGGAGAGGCTTGTCAGCAGAGAACACTGTGGAAGAGCAGATATATTGCTCAATTTTGAAAAAAATAAGCACTTTTTAGTAGAAGAAAAGATGTGGGGGAAAAGAAACTGTATTGATACTCTTAATAGTCTTTTGGAAGGAATTGCATATTTTTGCTTTGGTGGGTTTCAACAGTTATGGAAAATGTGAAAATTATATTCTGGGAAATTATTTGGCTTGTGCTGAAATCACATTTAAAATAACCCATAACTTAGTATTCGATATTCGGGAACTGTACTGTGTAATGAAGGATCTAAAAAATCCTTTCAACTGCTTAGGCACTCCTAAAATTAATTTGAAATTATTATAATGCTATTTCCTCTCAAGTGATACTAATTCACAAAGCTTAGAATGCTTATACTCCACTGTTTGGAGTAGCATACTGAAAACTCAAGCTTTTTAATGGCTTAGTTTCAGTATTTAAAACATTTGTATAATTGTATTAATAATACAGTTTTTTGCTAATTTTATTGAGTTCTTGAATCCAGGCATAAATTGCAACAATGCCAAAAGAAGAGCAATGACTTTTCAGACTACACTGAGATAGATCCTTTTCTAGTACTTCCTTTTGCTTTTTAAAACACAGAGTTTACAACACAAAGTTTCAAAGCTCAAATCAGGAATTTAAAAATAAGGAATTTTAAAACCAGTATTAATTTCTCTGAACTGTTTTTTTCTTCCCCCTGTCCTTCCCCCTCACTCTGAGAAAAAAACCCAAAACAGTAGGCAGCTTAGGAAAACATTGACATATCTCTTTCTATATAGAGTTAGGAACCTGATATTTACACAATAATATTGTGATACATTTGTACTAAAATGAGAGAATAATTTTTTATTTGTGTCTGGAGGAACAGGTAGTGGCTTCCAGAGGAGGAAAGCTGTAGCTTCCATTTTTTGAGGCAGAGACCAGGCAGAGCAGCACAGGGGACAAACAGCAGTGCTGTGTTTTACACAGGTGACAATCAGATCTTAGTTGCTCACATTACAGCTCTTTCTACTCTTACTTCTTTAGTGATTCCAGGGCAAATTTTGGACAAAACATCAAATTAATTCACATGTTCTGAGACAAAATATTGAATTTTGCACTTTTCCTACTGTGTTTTTCTTGGTCAAGTTCTACTCCTGCACCAGCAATGATGGGAAGGCAGTGCACCTCACTCCCTGCTAGGGGAGTTAAGCAGAAATAAAGAATGTCCCCATGGGGATTTCCTGGTCTGCCATGAGTAGTCAGAGACTTCAAACACAGCCACCTTAAGAATGGACCAGATGATCTTCTGACGTCCCTTACAACCTGGGCTGTTCTATGATTCAGTGATTCCCTTGGAAACCTTACCAGTCTTAGGCACCCACCATCCTCTACTGTTGACTACACTGTATTTGGAAATATAGGGTGAAACTATGACCATTCACTCAGCCAAACAGAAACCCCACCCTCTGTCTCTGCCCTCTAAGAATCAGTAAATCAGGTTCTTACCTCCTGTGACACCAGATAGGTGGTTTGCAGGCTGGCAGCTGGTCAGTGCTGTAAAACAGAAATGGCAGTTCCCTCATTGCTGCTGCACAGAAATCCAGAGTGAAAACGTGCAGATGCCTTGAGAGCAGGTTTATAATGGAGTCTCCTCCTGGACACGAACACTGGAAGCAGCAGGAATGTTGTGGCACATAAGGGCACCATCCCTTCCTGCCAGCCTGCAGACCCCCCTCACTTACCTTGGAGCTTTCCCTGGAGCCAGGGCAGACGTGTCGCGGGGACGTTTTATACGATCTCGTCTGCAGATGCTACAGATGCCTCCTCTTTCTTCGGTCAAAACATTTTTGGCAAACATTCTTTGGCTAAGCATTGTCTGGCAAACTGAACTAAGGGCATAATTGTCATTTGACATGACTAGATATAATTAGAAAATTTTGATGTCTTACTGGCTATATGAATACAGCTCCTATAAATAATGTGACAAGGGTGTTAAGGAGGGAATCTGGACTAGTCAAAGCACTTGGAGAACTTGGATTCAGGACTTATGGATTCTATTGCTGGCTTTCCCACCGACTCACTGTATGACCCTGGGTGGATTGCTTGGCATGTCTGTGCCTCAGCTATCCCAGCTGTACAATAGGAATGTCAGCTTTTAGCTTCCCCTGTTGATGGTGTGAAGCTTGTAAGAAATGCCTAAGAGCAATACATTAGGCAGGCTACTAAGAGGGAAGTATTACTAAAAGTATTTGGCAGATGTGCTGGTGAGATCCTGAAAGTAAGGGAGTAATCTAGGTCCTGCAGTGTGATAGTGCTGGTGACTGAGAGTCACATGCATGGCAAGATGGGACAAGGGACAAAGATTTGGTCATAGAAATAGGAGGGTGGGGTGTAGCTGAGCTACTGGGCTGGGTCTCAGAGAGAGATGTAAGGTCACTTGTGATACATGATGAAGAGCTTGTGTGCACACTCAGACAGATATGCCCATCTGTGCACTTGAAATTGCAAAAGAAGTGGGAGATTCTCCAAGAAGGGTTGTTACAAGCATATGCATGAATTTGTGCTAAGGAGAGTGTCAGAAGATGTGATGTGATTTCTGCTATGTAGATCAGTGCAGCTGAACAACACATGTTCCTCTTTTCTTAATGATGTTCTAATTCATCAGAAAGTACCCATATTGGCAACTCAGGAAAGTTGTTTCTTATGCCTTTAATTTGCATCATAGGTAAAAGAAATCCTTGAGGTAAAGATTTGGGCCTGTAGAAATCTATGCCATTTGAATGTTAATACCCCTTTCGACAAGGAATGGTTACAGCACGTTACAGAATCTAGAAACAACAAATTTATTTTTTTCCTGCAGGAATTTCTGCTCCTACAGAATTCAAGAGCCTTTTCACCATCCCAGAGCTCAGCTTACACACTCAGAGAGCAACTTAGATAGAGACTTGCAGTCTTCAGTTTGTCCTTGGCACTTGACTCCAACTCTACTAACATATACAAACCATGGTCTCAGTTGAAAGCCTGTCTTCCATCTGTGTACTCCCACTGTCAAACTCCCTAACCAGGAAGAAAACAAAGACCCCTTCAGCCCTTCCCTACCCACAACTCCCAGAAACCAATATTTTGCAGGATGGCATTTTGCTTATTGAAAGAGGCCAGCGACACAGGGCCCAAGTTAGAAAAAGGATGCATGACATACAAGGTAATACAGAGCATCAGGCGCTTCCCTGGGCATGAGGAACTTGCTCCAAGAAGGGCTCTGACACTACAGCACACACATTTTGGGTAGTGGGCCCCAACTCAGAACCCAAGTCTGTTCCGAACATATTCTATGTGGTCCAGCACTGCAGAACATTGTTGGTCCTGGCCGAGAAGGGGACAGGAGCACCTTGTCATATCAGAGCATGGCTTTAAGAAGGCCACTTGATGACCATGGATGGCCACAACCTCTCCCAGGGTGTGAAAGCAGAAGGTTTTCTCCCATCAGGTTGGGGAGGGAGCTCTGGACTCCCCTTCCCAGAAAAGGTGTAATATAGAATCAAAGACCCTGAAGATCATCCCAATTCCAGCTTCCCTTCTCTTCCACGAGACTGGCAGGGACACCTTCTATACAACGTTGCTCCAAACCCTGTCCAAACCGGCCTTGGACACTTCCAGGGATGCAGCCGCCACAGCTTCTCTGGGAAATCTGTGCCAGGGCCTGACCACCCTCACAGGGAGGAATTTCTTTCCAATATCCCATCTAGCTGTGCCTTCTGTCACTTTGAAGCCATTCCCCTTCTCCTGTCACTCCAGACCCTTGTCCAAAGTCCCTCTCCAGCTCTCTTGGAACCCCTTTAGGCACTGGAAGGGGCTCCAAGTTCTCTCTGGAACCTTCTCTTCTCCGGGCTGGACACCCCCAACTCTCTCAGCATTTCTTCATAGCAGAGGGGTTCCAGATATTGGAGCATCTTTGTGGCCTCCTCTGGACTCACTCATGCACGTCCACATTGTTCTTATGTTGGGGGCCTCAGGGCTGAATGCGGTGTTTCAGGTGGGGTCCCACCTGAGGGGGCACAGGGCCAGAATCCCCCCCTCCCCTACCAGCACACACAGCTGGGACACCTTGAGCTTCTCATCCAGTAACACCCCCAAGGCCTTCTCCTCAGGGCTGCTCTCAGTCCATTCTCCACCCAGCCTGTATCTGTGCTTGGGAATGCCCCAACCCACATGCAGGACTTGGCCATACTGGTCTTCATAGAGTTCACATGGGCCTACCTCTTCAGTCTGTTCAGATCCCTCTGGGTGACAACCCTTCCTCCCAGCATAGCGATCACACCATGTGGTTTAGTGTCATCGGCACACTTGCTGAGGGTGCCCTTGATCCCACTATTCCTGCTGCCTAGAGAGTTATCAAACAGCTCTGTTCCCAGTACTGACCCCTGAGGAATGCCACTCATCTCTGGTTCCACTTGGACACAGAGCTGTTGACAGCAAATCTTTGTCTCTAAACTGAAGAAACATGGATTTGAAGGATGGACTGCTTGGTGGATAAGGGATGGTCACACTCAAAGGTGTCATTTGGGAAAATGTCAAATGCTGTGCACAAGTCCACGTAGATGACATCAGTTGCTGTTCCTTCATCAATCAAATCTATAACACCATCACAGAAGGTCACCAAATTTGACAGGCATTATTTGCCCTTACCAAAGCCATGTTGGCTGTTAGCAATAACTTCTTTATTTTCCATGTGCCTTAGCTTAGTTTCCAGGATGAACTGCTCCATGATCTGCCAGGCACAAGGGTGAGACTGACTGGACTGTAGTTTCCCAGGTCTTCCTTAATTCTCTTTTTAAAAATGGGGGTTATGTTTCCCCTTTTATAGTCAGTGGGCAGCCATGACTTAGATATAATGGGTAGTGGTTTAGCCATTTCCTCTGCCAGTTCCATTGGGACCTGTGGATGGGTCTCATCAGGTCCTATGGACTTGTGCATCTTTAAGTTCCTTAAATGGTCTCAAACCAGATCTTCTCCTACAAGGTGGTTCTTCATTCTCCCAGTTCCTCACTTCTTGTTCTGCAACTCGGTGTGGCTGGAGCACTTGCTGGTTAACACAGAGGCAAAACATACCTCAGCTTTCTCTATATCCCAGGTAATGAGGTCACCCGATTCCTTCCAGAGAGGGCCCACATTTTCCTATCTTCCTTTTATCACTGACATTCCCAACTTTTCTCTGTGCCCTTGCTCTCCCTGGCCAAGTTTAATCCTATCATGGCTTAAGCTTTCCTCACCTAATCCATGGCTGCTTGAACAATTTCTCTGTATTCCTCCCAAAGCTCCCAGTTCCTGCTTTCACACTCTGTACGCTTCCCTTTTGTGTTTTAGTTTGTCCAGGAGCTCCTTGTTCATCCATGCATACCTCCCAGCATTTTTGACTGACTTCCTCTTTGTTGGGATGTATCACTCCTGAGTTATCCCTGAAGAGTCCAAAGTCTGCTCTCCTGAAGTCCAGGGTAGTGAGCTTGCTGCCCCAAGGATCTCTAACTACCGTTTCATGGTCACCGCAGTCAAAGCTGACCTGCAGCTTCACATTCCCCACCAGCTTCTCCCTGTTGGTGGGAACAAGGTCCAGCACAACACATCTCTTTATTGGCTCCAATATCACCTGAAGAAGAAAGTTATTGTCAATGCATTCCAGGAACATCCTGGATAGCTTATGCCCTGCTGTGTTGTCCCTCTAATAGATATCAGGGTGTTTGAAGTCCCCCACGAGGACCAAGGCTTGTGTGAATATTAGGCCATTCCTATCTGTCTATAGAGTGTCTCATACACTCAGTCTTCATGGCTGGGTGGTCTGTAGCAGACCCCCACTATAATGTCACCTATCCCTGCTCTTCCTTTAATCCTTCAGTCAGTTCGTCATCCAATTCCTAGACAGAGCTCTATGCACCTGGTTAGTCACTGACATGGAGGGCACCCCCCCTACTCATCCCCCCTGCCTGTCCTTCTTAAAGAGTCTGTACCTTTCCAATAGGAACCATCCCACCACGTCTCCACGATGCCGATCAGATCAGAGCCCTGAAGGTGCACATCTCTAACTCTTCTTGTTTATTGCCTGTGCTGGATGCATTTGCACAGATGGGCCCCTGATGAAGCCAACCAGAGTGGCTAGAACTCCCTTGTGCTGCTCTTCACGTGCTTTCCTGCTGACCTGAAATCCCTCTCCATGCTCTGGGCACCTCTTGCTGGCACTGGAAGGGGCTCTAAGTTCTCTCTGGAGCCTTCTCTTCTCTGGGCTGGACACCCCCAGCTCTCTCAGCATGTCTTCATAGCATTATCCTCTGTCAGCAACAGCTTGAGTATTATGTAAAATCACAGAATGCCTTGCATTGGAAGGGGCCTATAAAGATTGTCTGATCCAACACCCCTGCTCTGGGCAAGGACATCTTTCACTAAATTAGGTTGCTCAAAGTCTCATCGAACCCAGCCTTGAACACTTCCAGTGGTGGAGCATCTGTAACTTCTCTGGGAAACCCATTCCAGTGTCTCACCACACTCATCATGAAATATTTCTTCCTTGTATCTCCACCTAAGGAGTCTTTCTGCCTTTTGCAACCGGACCTGTCTATCTTGTATTGGCCTTTGTAGCCACCAGTGCGCTTGTAACAAATGTGGGCAGAGCCCTCCCCAAATCTTCGTTCATGAAGCCCGGCCATGATGATGATGATATCTATTTGAAATTTACAATTTTTCAGGTTAAAACCATTGGTTTCTTATAAGCCTGCTTTAAGTACTGAAAGGCCTCAAAGAAAGTATCTTTGGAACCTCTGTCATCTCCAGGCTGAACAATCCCAATGACCAGATGTGGCACTTAGAACTATGGCTTAGGAGCATGGTGATGTCTGGCCAAAGGTTGGATTCTGTGATCTTGGAAGCCTTTCCCAACCTTAATGATTGTATGATTCTATGAAGTATGTCAGCCTTTCTTCATAGGAGGGATGTTCCAGCTCTCGGCCCTCCTCTGAAATCACTCTAACTGGTCTGAGTCCTTCTTGTGCTGGGGGCTCCAGAGCTGGATGCAACAATGCAACACTGTAGGTGGCATCTCACAGATGGGAAGAATCACCTCTCATCACCTGCTGCTCACGCTTCTTTTGATGGATATTGTTGGCTTTCTGGGCTGCAAGCACACTTTGTTGGTTCATGTCCAATTTTCCATCCACCAGTATCCCTGAGTTCTTCTCTGAGTAGCTGCTGTTGCCTTTCTGTTAGGTCCTGCTCTCAGTGGCACGTAGCAAGTCTGTCCTGTGCAGTGCTGTCAAGCTGGGACAAAGAGCCCTCGGGATGTGCCTGGATCACCCAGGGACTATATTGAGAGCCTCTGAGTGTGACTTTGGGGACTGAAAATCTTTGCCTTCCCAGTGGCCAATGACAAAGCCAGTGTACTCAGAGAGCACTTCTGGGTTTTTGCTGTGGTGCTGTGCAGGATGTGGACCCATCCTTGCCACAGAAGTGCAGCACATGGCCAGGCAGCTCTGGGCAGGCTGAGAGAAGGTCTGGTTTGAACAGGAAGTGCTCTGTGAGTTGAGGGTTCTCTAGGGGTTGATGGTCACTCAGCGGTGCTTTCGGGATGATCATCAGGTCTGTTCACAAAAGAGATTAGAAACCAAGAACCTTCTATGGAATTGGTCACAAACCCAAGGTAGCTTCTCACATGTGAACCAGGTTGTGGGAAAGAATTTCTTCCTTGCTCCTTAATGCCCTCTCAGTACTCAGATGACATTTCCTCCAGCTGCAGATCATTCCAGCTTTATTTAGTTGAAGGTTAAGTGGGTTTGGCCAGTGTTCCTGGGTTTGGCCAGTGTACCCTGTGTGCTTTCCACAGCTATATAGCAGAATATATACATATGGAGTTTGTGAAGTTATTGCAGTAAAGGTACATGAAAGATATATCCAATTCCCAATTTTACTTAAGGAAAAATTACAGTATTGTGTACATTTCTGTGTAGTATATTATGAATCTCAGGGAAGATAATTGAAACAATATTCATAAAATTCTGACAAAATAGTGAAAATATTACATCCTTAAGTGCAGTACGCAACAGTCCTACTATATCCATATGTAAGTATTAAGTCTTAATTCTCACATTGCTTTACAACTTTTCTGTACATGAGCAACATGCTATTTCCTGATATATTTCACAGTCCTAAGCTCTGGTGACACCTTCTATTGTTACAAATAAAGTTACAGTGATTTTCTGTCTTTTCAAATACTCTGAATACATTGATTATATTTTACTGAATTGTGTTCTCAAATTCAAACTATAGGCAGCTTTCCCTGCTGTGATTGTCTTACGTTGTCCAAAAACAATGCAAAAAGAATTCAAAGTTATGAAGAAGTTTTGGTTAGCTTATGGAGGCTCACACAATTTCTACACATTGAGTGAAATGGATTTGGAGGAAGTAACGACGATTTCAGCTTGATGATGTGTATATGCTCTTAGGCACAATGTCAAAGTCAGGTAATTTTCAATGTACAGAGAGAAGAACATAATTATCTGTGCTCTGCCAAGGAGGTTGAGGAAAATGCCTGTGTACTGAGCTCATCTCAAATATGAAGGTTTGTCATAAAACAAACTGTCTGTTTGTTGCCTGTCTGTTGCCTTTTCCAGAAGCCACATGGTCTAGTGCAGCACTGACCTGTCTTCTCAATGTGACCTTCAAGGGAGCCTTTCAGGGCTCTTTTCAGGTTACATCAACAGCTGAGAAGATAAGTCACAGATTCCCACTGCTGCCAGGACTTAATGAAAACTCAACAGGCAATGGCTGGAGAAATTAATTCCTTTTTATGTGTTTTCTCTGATATTAATGTCCACTGTTCTTTGCCACCACTTGCAGGGTGACATGTATCTGATAAACACAAGGACTGGTTAAACTCCAAATCCCTATAGCTACAAGTACTTCCTTATGGAATGAGATTTAAATAATGATGGCTTCAATGTCAGAACAAAGAAACAACATAATAAAAGAGCTGGAATGCAAAGCTGAATTCACTGGTCCAGATTTATCTTATTCAACCTTGTGTGGTTGACAGATGCTAAACTCATCATCATCTATAAGGTCCAACAGACCAGGAAGACAAAAGGCATGTGCAGCAGCATAAATATCCTTCCACTCTGAGCATGATAAAGGAAAAAGGCATTACTGTGTTTTTTGCTGCCACATAATTGCAACCCAAGCTACTAGGAAAACTTTCAATAGAAAAGACATTTGCAAGTCTTAATTGTTTTGGTGGACTATCATCAGTCCTTGCAAATCTGGTCTTCTCGGTCTCACAAATCCCAGCTGACTACTCCTGGTGACATCTCACAGTATATTTCCTGTTCTAGAGGAACTCCTTTGCTGACATTAAATTTGAGACACTGTAAAAATAAAAAGAAACATGTTAAAATTTTTATTTTTTAATTTGCCAATTATCTTCTACCTTCACCTAAATATGAATACACAAAAAGGGATAATTCTTCAGCTGGTATTTTAGTACTCAGCTGTAAAACACCTTGTTCATTAAAAGAAAGAGCTTTAGACCATTGAAAATGTTATCAGCTTTTGACATTTTGACTAAACAAAACAAAAAGTATAAAGGAAGAGAATTTAGGTGAAAAATGTGATTTACATATCTTGCTTGAAAGTGCATTGGTTAAATCATTCCAAACCAGCATGGTTTCGTGAATGGCTTAGATGCATATGAGAAGTTTGGCAGATGATACAACCCATGACATTAGCACAGGGTTGCATAAGTCTTCCAGGAGAAGATTTATATATTAGCAAAAGCTTTGCATGGACATATACTGTCATTAGTGCTTTGAACTGAGAGTACTCACAAAGGCAATAGAAACACAAGTAAGAAATATTGAAGAGTAATTTAACAGAAAAAGTTGAACTAAAGCATATGGAAAAAAGAACCTGAAAATTCCTAGGTAATCTTTGACAAAATACCAGTGGGGCTCTTTTTTTCCATCTCTGCTCCTTGTTCACAGGATATTTCCAGAAGTAAGTTCAATGAGCAAAATCAAATAAAATAGACTAAATAAACTAAACAATACATTCAGGTTTCAAGGTAAAGTGGGCAGGGAAAAGTAATTTGGATTATATTTATAGAGATCCAAGATGGAAATAAGCATCAGAAGAACATAATGGAAAATCACTGGATATCCAGGGCTTTTGTGCCATTGAAACTATCAGTATAGATAGCATTTCTTTAATTTCCTGCAGCTTAATCAAAGAATCAATTATAGAATGGTTTGGGTTGGAAGGGGTCTGAAAGAGCCTTGGACAGGGACACCTTCCACTGTCCCAGGTTGTTCCAAGCCCATCCAACCTGGCCTTGGACACTTCCAGGGATGGGGCAGCCACAGCTTCTCTGGGCAACCTGTGCCAGGGCCTCCCCACCCTCACAGGGGAGAATTTTTTTTCTGATATTTAATCTAAATCTCTTCTCTCTCAGTTTAAAACCTTTATCCCTTGTCCTGCCACTTGGCATGGTGAAATCAAAGAAAATTTGTAACCAGCCTATTCTTGAGTGTTCTTCTTCTGTAAGAAGCCAAAATTGCCCAGACTCATGTTCAGTCACTTGTCCACTCACAAAAACATACCCTGAATAATCTGAGCGATTCATCCTTTGTGGCAGCTTTATCTTCTTTCACAAAGCTGACCTTTCTCCCACTGATGACTAATTTATATTTACTGGCATATTGGCCTATAAGCTTCTTGCAAAGAATCCAAAGTCCTCCATTCTGTGGATTGTCTGCTCTAATTTAACAGATATTAGTGAATTACACTGGAGAAAAGTCCGGTTTGTAATGTCTTTGCAGTGCACTGCACTGTGGCAGGGGATGGCTGCACACAGGGGAAGCCAATCACTTATTCTGATAAACCACTAGCTGATTTCTTGTCACGTTTTTAACCTGTGCCAGCTACAGTTCTCCTAAACAGATTTGAAGGCATAACTGGACAGCTGGCATTTTCTGGGACCATTCCCAACAGACCCTGCATCCAGCCTCACCATTCTGGATACAGAAATAGTTTACTTCTATAAGTATAAACAGTCCTGTGCCAGTTGGCCTAAGTTCCTGGACACGTTTAATTTGCTAGTGTAGCTGTAGTGTTCCTCTGGAAGGGTTTGGAGGAGCAACAGTGAAATCTGTCCCTGGGAAAGGAAGGACCTGCTGGGAGAAGCAACAATACCTTGATGGAAAAAGGAAATTAAAAGTGATTGTGCCTCTGTTAACTTTCTGCCAATGTTTCCATCTCTTCAGGTCTGGACTCCTCTAGAGATGGATGCAAAGCAGAGCAGAGTCAGAAGAGAAGAGGCAGAACAAGGGTAGACTCTGGCTACAGGCAGAGCAACAAGGAGTGGGCAAGACTCTGCGGTGCTGACATTCCCATGGAAGGGGAAGGATTTTGTTGGGCTGAAAATAAATCCTTCTTCAGATGGAGAGGCAGCTGCCTCACTCTCTGCCACCCCTTAGCCATGGCTTCCCCTCCCCCATGTTCTGTGACTGTGAATTCAGGAGCAAGAATCACATGCCAGCAAGGCAGCACAGGTCGAGTGGGAAAGTGGAGGCATCTCAAGACTGCTGATCTGTATCCCATTAGGACACCCCGTCCTGCAGCCCCCATCTATGTTTTTTCTTGCTGCTATTCATCTCATGAACTGGAAGGTTTCCCTTTGTGCGTGGATGAGGAGATAGTGATGGAAATAACACACATTTTGAAATACACTGCTAAACATCTTCAGGCTCTGTAAAACTGTGTTTTCATAATATATCTTACCTCATTTGGAAGCTGAGGATGGGGTGGACAAATGGGTGGTCCTGACCTTTGAAAATTGTCTGAGCTGTTCCAGGAGTAGAAATCAGCCGCTAATTAGTATCTGGCTGGCAGTTGTTAATGAGAACAGTACCCCTGAGATTCATAACAAGGCACTTATCTTTCAAAATCTTCATCAATACCCTGTGAGTGAGTCACAGATTGCACCTTTGGCAAATTTGCAGGTAACACTAATCCATGGGAGTGGCTGAATATCATAGATGGCCAAGATTCAATCCAGGGGGACCTTGACAAACCAGAGGATGAGACCAACAGAAACCTCTTGAAGCTCATTAAATAGTGCAGTTTTCCAGCTGGGGCAGAATCACACTGTGTGGACAGGGAAGTGTCTCAGCAGCAGCCCTGCTAGGGAGGATGTGGGGGCTTTGTGAGAGACAGTTTGACTCTAAACCAGCAGTGCTTTCTCATCCTAAGGAAAGCAAATCCCAGAGTGGGCTGCATTAGGAACATTGTGTCTAAGAGACTGAAAGAAGTTACTCTCCTGTGCTTGGGGCTGCTGTAGTCACACCTGGAATACAGTACTGCATTTTGGGGTCTGCAGTTCAAGTCGGATGCGGAGAAATGGGAGGGGGTCCAGTGAAGGGCTGCCAAAGTGGCACGTGACCTAGAGCACGTTACTTGGGCTACAAGCTCCAAACAAGTAGAGGACAACGACCTACCCTTACATATTCCACCATTTCCTATCTACACTTCCCTCAAGCCCTCTGCTCCTTTGGTCAGAATGTGTCTGACCATAAAGGAGTGGAAAGCAGCATGGAGTTAGAGGTGAGTCTGTAACTCCATGGTCTCTTCTTTGTTAGAGTGACTGCATTCATTCACAACTTCCTGTTGGTAGGCAGAAGTTTTAGGTATTTCCAAGAAAGCAGCTCCATCACAAGTAATGGTGACTTGGGAAGACAAATATCATAATTCCAAATGTCCCCCAATCTTCTTCCCTCAGACTTAATTGCTGAACATTGTATTGCATACATTATATGGTATGAAATACTCCTTTGGTCAGCTGGGGTTATCCGTCCCAGCTGTGTCCTCTCCCAGCTTCTTGTGCCCCCTCCAGCCAATCTGCTGGTGGGGCAATGTGAGAAGCAGCAAAGCCTTGGCACTGTGTAAACACTGCTCAGCAATAATGCAATCATGCCTGCTATCACCAACACTGTTTTAATCACAAATCCAAAACACAGCCCCATACAAACTACTATGAAGAAATTTAACTCTATCACAGCTAAAACCAGTCCATAACTTTTGGTGCAGAAAAGAGATGCTAATGTTGTCTCATTTCTTTCTTTAAGGTGCTGCTGCAGTGGAATATCCAAGCCTCCTGTGTAAACACACCTTTTTCAGGCTCAGCTGGTACCACTGTCTGTCCCACCAGCTGAACTGATAGTCGAACTGTGGTCCAACCTGATGCCCGAGGATCATGTTGTACTATGAAATTGGTGGCTGTTCCTTGTTTAAACTAATGACAAGAATTAACTTTACTCAATGAAACAGGTGAGCTGAAGCTTTCTCACCTGTTTGGGGACTTTGTGGTCTATCTGTTTCTTTCACCCAAGTTTCCTATTGCACCTCTTTCTGACAATGTTTCTTTTGTCAAATCACAATAAATTACAATAAATATCTCTTCAGCCTGTGTGAACCCAGCCTCTTGCCCTTTGTCCATAGATGAGCTCCAGAGATGGTGTATCTGCACATTAACTTGATTCCAGTTCTAGTCAGCAGAGCAATTTAAACTATTCCCTTCTTGGTTACAGGAAGGTCCTGGTACCAGATTTCTTCTCACTCTGGAAAAAAAAAAAGCCTCAAAATCCAAAACCTACTAAACACAGCAGGCAGTCCTGGATTCAGAGCAAGACACAGCCTTACAAGTTCACAGTTCACAAGAACACAGAATGGCAGCTTGGTGCTGATCTGTTCCAGTTGCACAGGAAGACAAGGCTGAGCTCATTGGCCTGTGCTGCCTGTGTGTGAGGATGCAGCAGCAAGTTAAACCTTTGGGTGTGTCCTTTGGTGTTGAAAGTTGGAACCAATGACAGTTTCCCATCCCCTTTCACGTGAGAATTCTCAGAATGCTGCAGTGACACAGAAAGGATCTCTGGAGTGCAGTGCAATCCCAGATGGTAGGGACTTGTGCTGGCACCTGACTTAGTGGCACAAAAATAAAAAAGTAATTCAGGGGTATGATGGTCTGGCCTCAAAATTCAGACTGTCTCTCTCTGTTAAAATGTCTTTTCTCCATGGACCTTCTGCATGTTTTCTTACTTAAATGGGCTTCTATTTCTAAGCAAAAGCTTTCTGCAGAGCAAATACATCACACACATCCCAACCTCATGGGACTACGCCTACATTCTGTGAAGATTTTATAGCAACTAGACTAAAATCTTAGGGGTCACATTTACTCCTGCACCCCACTTATGCATTCATTAATGAAACAGTAAACCATTAACTGCAACTTCCAAAGAAGTTGTCAGTTGTCAGGTAAAGCTTATTGCAGTTAACTGAGTTATTCTCCTTCCCAAGACCAGTTTTGGTGATTCAAACTACGTTCAGCCTGTCCTCCAGCCCTTGCAAATGCATGTGGGTCTTTCGTGCACATCCAGGGACATATAATTCCCAGCTCCATCAGATTTGCTTTTTGTTGCCCTTACATTCAGATTTCTTCTGCTTATAGCTGTGCAAACAATCCTGTACCTCAGTGAACACAGAGTCCTCGTGTTAAACATGCCATCCATCTAATGCAAGCTGGAGCCAGGTGATGAGAAAACAGACTCCAATGACAGCCATGTCTAGCACTGTTCTTGAGGTACTGTAGTCTCAGCTGGACAAGGCAGGTGTGATTCATGGTGGCAAGCAAGCCTGAAGCTTTTCTCAGCTGGGAATTCAAGCTCTAACAAATAGAGAACAACAACCTGTCTTTATGTCTTCCACTATTTCCTATCTGTAGCAATAAAATGAAGAGATACAGGATCAAAGCAGATATGTCACAGAGAAGAAATATCTCAGCTGAGCTCCCATATCCCTCCGAGGTATTGGGAGAGGAGATACTGTGAGTGTTTAGGGAAGATCGTCTCAGCACAGGTAAATCATGAACCTCCATCATCCAAAGGATGTTAATCACCTAAGGAATAGAGGCATTTTAGTGTAAAAATGAGGACACAGGGCTACCTGTTGGAGCATTTCCTGTCAGCTGCTGGCTGCTTGTTACCTTAAGCAAAAGAATATCACACACAAAGAGGCAAAGTTTTTGATGATGTCATCAGTAGGACATGTGAACTGCAAGTCAGAGCTACAACCCACAAATTTATCTTGTGGGGTTGTCAGGGAAAAGGAACCAAGGAGAAATATCTTTTTCCCCATCTGATGAGCTTGCTCTCTCTGCGCACCCACAGGCACAGTGCTTCCCTAATTGCTGGAGTTATTAGTGTCCTGGCCTTAACCAGCCACTGCTCTCCTGAGTGAGAGAAATCACACTGGAGAAAAGCAGGCAGAGTTTGCAAACTGGCTGCTGGTAGGTAAAGAGGTCCCTGAGGAACCCTCCAATATGTGGGTGTCCCTGGCAGGGATGCTGGTGTGAGCAACCCTATTGCTGCCCACTGCTGGCTCTGTTACACTGTGGTTATCTGGACTATAGGTGCTGGAGGCTTGTTGTAGGTGTAGTCCTGCCCTGATGAGAAAATTTCAGGTCAAAATATCTTTCCTGGTCTGCAATAAAGGAGGATGAAAACGGTAATGTAGAGGGAGAATAGAGAATACCTGTGCTTTTACTGGACTGGCAGGTCAACTTGTCAGTCCTTCAGCCTTAAAACACATCATGGGCATCAGTATTCAATCAGTGTCACTGAAAGCCAGCAAAAAGTGCTAATTAAGGAAACTAATAGGAAATCCCAGGATGAAAGAGCAACAAAAGATATGACAATACTTTTTAAATTAGCAGAGTTCTTGCAATAACTCTTCTGGGAAAGGTGGAATAGCTACGAACCTTGTGGGAGAAGCCTCTAACAATCATTAAATCCCTTGCATCTAAAGCCAGTCACAGATGTACCAAGGTATTGTTGGACAATCTGCACTATAACAAGAAAATTTGGAATGAGTTTGTTGCTGCCTTAACAACCAAGACGGTAACTTAATATTTGATCCACATGGGTTGCGTAACACTGCAGTAAATAAAACACTCCCCCATTAGCTCTGAGGTAAGATGAGAGCACAACAGCAAAGGGTGACTGAAAATAAGAGGTGAGAGCATTAGCAAAAATCACGTGTTCAGTGGGTTTCCCAAATAGGCACAATGATGTCAAGCACCCCAGCTGTGGTACTTTGGAAACTGTTAGGGGAGCACTGATGGCTCTGTATAAAGACCCGGTGGCACCTCTGCTGAAATATTCTGTGCTGTCCCAGCACTACACACTCCAAAATTACTGACTCAAGGGATACAGAGTAAAGATAGAATTTGTGAGACCTCGGGGAAACAAAGAAGGTCCCTTGAGTGCGGAGCTTGGAAGAGTTCAACTTATGGCTCTTGGGCCTTGGCCAGCACCCAAGGGGCACTGGTGAGCCACACACCTGCTTTTAGGTAGAACAGATCCCTGCAAATCCATCCTATGGGGTGTTGCCTCCCCAGGCTCTGCCTCAGGCGCTTCACTTGGATCACTTGCCAAATTCAAAACCAATGTCAGTCTGAAGCAACTCTCACCCTGGAGCCAGCATTACCTGGAGCCAGCATTACCTGGAGCCAGTATCACCGGGCCCAGCCTGAGCTGCTTTGCCCAGACAAGGAGAGGCCCCAGCAGCTTTCCATCCACTCCATGAATGCACAGAATACTTTGTCTGCCAGGTGTGTGCTCTGCCCAGAGCCACAAGCAGTGGCTGGGACTGGCACTGCCTGTACTCAGCTGCTGTTAGTGCAAACAAAGGGGTGTCCTGGCTCCAGAGCAGCAGCCCGTGGGCTCCAGGCTCTCCAAGGCCTCTTTGCAGGGGGGATCTCCCTGCTTTGCTGCTGCCCTTTGGCTTGTTGTGACAGACATGTCAGGACATGGCAGTTGCTCTGTGTTGACCCAAAGGCCAGCCCAGTGCAGTGTCCCCTGGCAGTGGCTGTGGGTCTTGGTGGTGTCTGAGGCTGGCAAAGTACAGGAATGAGACAGGAATATGTGTTGAGGCTTTCCCTGAACTCTGCCCCATACCCCAGGAGCTCCTGGCTGGCACATCCCAATCCTGATGTCTTTCTTGTGTGTGGGATCAGGAACCTGGTTCTCCTCTCACAAATTTTTGCGGCAGATTTTTGAATGAATGGAAACGATCATTAGCCACTGATTGTGGTGAGGAGCTGTGCAGATTAATTATCAGTCTTTGGAGGAATATGCGACACCAAATGGTCTCCAAAGGATGGCTCCTCTCAGAGTGGAGGCACTCTCTGGGGCCGTGAATGTTCTCTCCAGAGCATGTGATTTTTTGTCTCTGTAGCAGGCTGAAATGAGACAGAGTTGTTCCTATTCTGCCACACATGAATCATGCAAATAACCTCTTCAAATTTATGATATGGACATCTGCACTGTTCTTGCCTGAACAATTCTGTCAGTGATACATCCCTAAGGATCTCAGAACAGTTATTTTTATGGATGTTAGTATCACTGCTCCTTGGAGTTGGGTTTCAGAAACATGAAGATTGTTTTTCACTGACATCTTAAAATTTGAGGGGGAGATTAGAACTCTCCAGGGAGTGAGAGTGACATTTGACTCTGTCAGCTGCACAGAGTATATGATCTGTTCCTATAATAACACAAGGATTTATACAATTCAAGACATCATAAATTACACTAAAATAACTATTTCTTTCTGCATTTAGGAGATTTAAATAGAAATTCATAGAAATGAAAGTACACCCACATTTGCCCACATACCGTTTTTGTTACTCTAATATTTCGTTTTTGTGTTGATTCTGCAGTGGCTGTGCAGAGCTTGGACTCTTCTTGGGAAGAAACCTCTGCATGAATGCACAGAATAGTGCCTTTTTCCTTAGAAAGTCATGAATGTTTCTAAACACAAATTTCATCATTCCACTCTGTTTCATCTTCCCAGTCATCCCTTTCCTTATTGGCAAGTAAATTCATGCAAATAGTCACAATTCTATTTTTTCGGGGGGGGGGGAGCTAAGAAAATAGGTTCCTTTGTGTCAAGGGGTGAAAACCCTCCTAGGCTGTTGAAACTTCCCAGAAAAGAGATTTCTCCACTGCTGGTTTTCCATGGAAGTGGGAGAACTCCTTTTCTGCTTTGACAACAGGAGTGAGGTGGTTCTCTGGTTTCCATAAAATTCACCTGGAGAGAGGTCTCCTATGTGGCATGAGAGTTCCTTAGGCAACCAGGCACATCACAGGTACCCTTGAGAAATGTCTGCAGCAGCTTCTCTGTGCTACCCCACCTGCCCCCGCCCCCATCGCAGTATCAAAGATTGCAGCAGGCACTAACAGAGCAAAGTTCGCAGGGAATTTCCTGAATTTCACCACAGAAGATTCCACACAGCATTATGCTCTCAGCTTAAACTTGTCCTGCCCTCCCTCCACTGCAGCACAACTAAACCTTCTGCTGTCATCCCAGATTCACAGAACAGGGAGGAGTGGAAAGCCTGGAACCTCCCCACCACACTCATCATGGCTCAGTCAGCCCTGGGTCAGAACAGCATTGTTGTCTCCTGAGGGACAGGGAGAGAAGGAAGGGAAAACTGGACCAGAGAGGAGTCTTGGAGATGCTGTGGTGCAGTGCAGCTGAGGTAACACACCCTCTTCAGACTAGGAAAGCATCAGTGGCCCCCTGTCAATCTGACAGTTTTTCCCTCTCAGAGGAAATCTCTGGTCCCCTGCCATGACAGAACAGTTGTGAGTCTCCCAAAGCTTAGGGAAACAGGGCTGAGGATGCTGACTGCATTTAGCTCAGGGGAAGGTGCTGGGCTTCCAGCAGTGCACTCCTGCCAGAGTGGCAGGTCTCCCATGTCCTCAGCTGAGATGTCCATGTGGCAGTCCCGACAGAAGCAGTACTGGCAAAAGGCTTGTTAACATGCCCAGGAGACAATCCATACATGCAATGGCTGCTTGGATTGTTTGGGAAGAGCCTATGGCATGGCATCTACTAAACAGTGGATTATCTGCATAACAAGGAAGTTTGGATTTTGCTTTATGCAGAGCATCCAGGGCTCTTCTGATGGAGGCCAACAAAGTGTTTGGCATGTGCAGGAAGAATGTGATTCCCCTTCTAGTGTCAGTAGTACAATGTGGCATGAATAAACCCTTTCCTAGCATGGTATTGTATAACCTCCAGCAAGCAGCTCACCCAGAAGAGAAGGCAGATGGGTGCTGGAGGGTACAGGGAGCACTAATCTCCTGCTAATGGCATAAACAAAGAGAAGCAAATTAAAAAAAAAAGGTAATTACGTGCCGCAGTAATTCTGGAAGAGGCCATCACATCAGTCATTTTAGAACAGATGTAAAGTCATAAGTCAGTGGAATCTTTCCACCCCTTGTTATAAATTCAGTATTTACAAGGCACAAGGTTCTCCCTCCAGCAATTCACTCCCTAAAGGTGAGAAATATTTGGCATGTCATGAAGGTTTTTGTTAAATGATTTTTGTGATTTACAGATTACTATTCATGAGTGGGTATTCCGGCATATCATTTGTCCACCTAAGAATAGAGTTTGTGCTCTCCACGTCTGTCCAGATAGAGAGACTGGATAAATACCCCTGTCATTCATTTGTTATCCATGACACAGCAAAAATGCCTTTAGCAGAAGAACATAATTCTCCTGATAGTCCAGCTGGGACCAAAAAGAAGGTTGAGCTTACATTAAAAGCAAGAGTGCTGTCACGTGGAAAACAGAAGCATAAGAACACAGAACTAGACACTTTCCCAGTCTGTCTGTAACAATCATACCTTACAGTCAATTCTGTAATCTCATCAGGTCCCAAATTATAACCAGTTATAATGAAGAAAAATTTATGATATTGTACTCACCACTGCAGTGACCAGAATTTCATCAGAAATTTCCAGGTCTCAATTTCAATAAAATTTATTTGTTTACCTTAAAAATTCTCAAAAGCCGGATCTAACATATAGGTGTTTCAGGATCAGAAATGTACTTCTAATTCTCAAAAATGATTTAGCAAAGGGACTATTTACATTTATTCATTTTACTCCTCATATTTTCCTTCAGCCTAAAGAGATTTTTTTCCTCCTTGTTTTTTTTTTCTCCTCAGTTGAGTTATACAAATAAATCCATCTTGTATCAGCTTCAGCTCACTAGATTATCTTTTCAATCACTCGTCCAGTGTGAACCATCATCATTCAAGCCATTCTTTTCAACTCATAAAGGAGTTCATCCATTCTCATGACCATTTTAATAATTCTGATGGTGTGGAATAAGAGAGACAGGGAGAAAGAGAGGTGTGCAGTAGGGACTACGAGGCAGGAGAAACCAAAAAGCAACAGGAAGGTGAATAAAAGGAAAGGTGGTTTGGAGCAGTGTAAGAAACCATCTACTGCTCAGCAGTAGCTCTAATTACCACCTTGTTCAGAGAAAAGTATTTCTTTCTTCCCAAATCAGTCCTTTAGTGACCTGACAGTAACTGACTGACAGTGTTTTCCAGCCCACCCAAGACTCCCCACACTGTTTCTACACAGGATATGTCCCTTCAGGGCTCGGGCTGGCATTGTGAGAAGGACCGGGATCTCACTGCCTCGCAGTTGTTTGCGTGAAGGTCACACTCAATCGATGTCTCGAAGAGTTACCTGCTTGAAAAATAGCCTGTCGTGCAGTGCCCAGTGTGCTCATCTTCTCTCAGGTCTCCCAGGAGTGTCCTAAACACTTTCTGTCCTCCCAGTCCCCACCAATACCTTTCCTTTCCCTTCCTTTTGTGTTTTCAGCCATTTCTTTTGGCACCCTTGCTCACAAGGACTTGAGGCGTGAGGAGGAACCAGACACAACCTGCCTTCCCTCCCTGAAGTGCCAGGACAAAGCAGAGATTTGGTAGATGGATCTGTTTCCCAGGGCATTCATTCAGTACCCAGAGAGACAGGCATCAAGGTACTTGGGCAATGGCCATGAAATTGGGTGGAAGAACACAGAATATACCCAAAACTGGTAGATCTTTTCTTCAGACATTTCCCAGCGATTGACCTCTGATCTTTCTTCTGAAATTATATATTTTCCTTAAAGATTGCAAACCTCCACTCATCACTGCTTAAAAAATATTTATTCATAGTTCCTCTTTGTTTTGAAAGAGCCCAGCAACATGTGCAAGTGGTGAACATTACCCAGAGTGAAAACACCTGCCAATATCAAGCATCAAATTACATATCTGGAGTCAGATACTGTTTCTTCTTGGGCATTGGATTACTCTGGGTAAAGCAGTTTCACTAGTTAAGTCTTTCAGAACTAAAGTCCCTCAAGAAAAACACTTTCTGTGGAACTGAGTTGTGGTGATCCAACTCTGATGACAGGAAACGTAATGGAGCTCTTATATTCTAAGAAATACCTGTCACTCTTTCAGATCAAGATTATTACAGACTTGGAAGTCTATGCAATAAAAACAAGGTATCAGATGCATCTATTTTAAACTTTCTCTCAGAGGTGTACATTTGTGCCTATTATGGATCCTTGTTTTTCCCAAGATCAGTTACCTTTACATCAGCACTTCCAGCTGACAGGCAGCCTGACTCCAGGAATAGTGTGTCACTGCAAAGTGTTGCCCATCCTCCATGTATGGCAACAAATCACAAACTGAGGAGAAATTGATTTTCCATTACACTTCTATTAATATTCCATTTTGATCCTGATAATCCTCTGTAATTTATAGGGTGTGTAGTGAAGTTCTGCAGAGTGCAATGTGCGGGAAATCAGTGTTTCCCAAATGTCCCATATATAACAGAAAACTCAACTGATACTTCTAATCTTAAAAATTTGAAGAACTTTTCTATCAAAAAAATTCCACAAAATCAGTAGTTTGTGCAAAGCGCTGTAAGATAATAACTTACCAATAAATAAATAAATATCTTTGATTTAAATATGTTGCGATTGCTTTAAAATAAATATGTGTCATCCATTCCATATTCTTTGTGACATCATCCAAAGCAAACAGAATGGATTGTGGCCAGTTGTCCACTTGCTCTTCAGCAAATAGACATAGACTTCAACCTTTTCTACACTTCAAATACAATTTTTTAATGGTTTCACAAGAGTAGAATGTAAACTAAAGGCTTCACTTTTTGTCCTTTCTATGTCATGGAAGACTGTGGGATGACTCCAATCCCTTTCAGTCCCTCTGGTGTGCACCAGACTGGTATCCAGATACCAAATACTATCACTAGTGCCCAAAAGCCCTTTACAGAGTTGAACTTGCTGTCTTCTATAACTTTATGTAAAACCAAATTATGTGAAGTCATGGAGCCATAGAATTATGAGGTCATAAGGGGTATCAGGGGATTAGATAGTCCAACCATCTTGC